AGAGAGAGAGAGAGAGAGAGAGAGAGAAAGAAAGAGAGAGAGAGAACAACTCAAACTGACATAATATAGTCACTGCAGTAGACTCAGCACTTAAACATAGCTAGCTGATGACTCTACAAATACACCCCTGATAGAATATCATATTTCGTCTCGTCTCCAGACTTTCTGCGCTCGGGGCAATTGATAAGATCCCATACCTAGGGGGCGGCACCAGGACAGGAAAAGCCATCCAATACATGAGGGAACAGATGTTCTCAGCCACCATGGGCGCGCGATCTGGTGTGCCGAGGATCGGCATCGTCATTACAGGTCAGGCCAATGATTCTAATACGGGGTGCCCACTATGGGTGGATAGAACCGATCGCCCGACTCGATCGTCCGAAATTGAAATGAAACACGTTTGTTTTTGAGGCGATCGAGTCGGGGCGATCGGCCGATCCCAGCCGTAGTGGGAACCCCGTATTAAGGGCCAGGCAACACATTATGACCCCATTCTCGTTTTCTTTTTTCCTTGTTCTCTAAAGCTCTAGTTTATCTTCCTAATTCTAGGGTAGCAGTTAAGTCTTTTCTTTTTGGCTGTTGCAGAAGACGTGAGTTCGATTCTCGACTAGGGGTGTTATTCTTTCGAGTACTCACATCTATACATATGCACACATATACAACAACAAATATAGTCACAAATCTGAAAATATTTACTTCAACAACCCATCCTCTCATTTTTCATTTTAGCCCCCGTCAACACTTACTCTACTTTGACTATCACTTTGAGAAAAAATAGGAACATGTAGATATCCTGTTTAGTTTTCCTATAAATACCCACAGCACTTCCAATCAATGCCACCCCCCACCCCATTTTAACTCAACACAAAGAGCTTTTATTTTTAAATCTCTATTCAAAAGAAGCGTTTTCTCTCGTGATGCCACCTAGATGACTACATTGCACTCAAAATCATTCCTTCTACGTTTGTATACCGGCGTCTGTAGTGTAGGGGTTAGGTACTTCGCTTTCGCACGCACGAGATCCGAGTTCGATTTCCTTGTGGGGAGGAATTTTTATCGGGTATCTCGGTCTTTATGCTGGGATGTTGTATCCCTCTCAGCCCAGGTAAATCTTGACAGGCAGGATCAGAAGTTCACCTTCTAAATTAACTTTACTATGTCGATGGGGGCGTAAACATAATATGTGAGGCAGCGTGGTGAAATCAGGCTCTCGTCAAAATAATCAAAGTGAAGAAACTTGCATTTTTCTGCTGGTTTGTGAATTGTTATCAAATTTTTGTTTTTTGGCTCAACACCTTTCATGCCCATTAAAGAACTCATTTCTGTGTGGGTTTTTCTGAAAAACGTTGATTAAAGGCACGCAAAATGTAAATTTCCAGTTACCACGGACTCTTAAGCTGAGGAAATAACTAATCTTTGGCGGCTATTTTCTCACTAATCTTACCTCTGAAAACAGGTGACCCCCACCCTCTTCATTCGCAAATATCTTGACTTGTATTCAAGATAAATGGATAATTCTTTTCGCCCAAATAAAGACAAATGAACAAGCTTTAAGATGATACCAATAACTCTACATGCTCAAAAATTGATGAGAGCGTGATGCCACCACGCTGCCTCACATATCTACATTTGGAGCACTAATATGTTTTCAGACGGCAAATCTCCGAACATCCAGAACACAAAGACTCAGGCTGATGCGGCGCGGGGAGCTGGGATTGAGATGCTGGCAGTTGGTATCGGGTCAAGCGTGGACAAGACCGAGTTGGACGCCATTGCTGGTGAGTGGAATCTGCCTTTCCTATGAGTTATCTATTCATCCTTCTGTGTCTCTGCTTATTCTTCATTTATCTACATGTCCATCCATCCATCCATCCATCCATCCATCCATCCATCCATCCATCCATTCATCCATCCATCCATCCATCCATTCATCCATCCATCCATCCATATGTCCATCCGTCCATCCAACCACCCATCCATCCATCCATCTATCCATTTGACCAATGACCAATTATCCATCTATCCACCCATTTTACCACTCAAATATCCACACACCCAGTGTGCATCCAAAGTGATCTCATCTTACGTCTGTGTTAACTTTCTACTTCATTCCTGTGTCCAGGCAACCCGAATCATGTTTACCAGGTCAGTGGATTTGACGGTTTGAATACACTGGTCGACCCCATCCTCACGGGAACTTGCGATGGTATGTGCCACATAAATGAGGACTTTTTGAAGGGGGAAAGGGTTTGTGTATTGATAATTTAATGTCTAATAAAGTGTTCTAATATAGTAGAGGGTTTTACGGCTCTTACAACTGCATAAGGTCATATGAGCGCCAAGCGGTGGGTGTCAACAGATAAGTCTTTACAGGGAATCAGACTTACTCTGCTCACCTCTCTCTAGCTTCAACAGCACAAGGTCTGCTTCAACTATCAAGGCACCCCGAAAATAGCAGGTCACAAGAGTGACAAACATACAAAAGAAGTAGAGGAAAATGACAATCGTAAGGATTAGGAAAGAAAAAGGAGCAGTTCCTTGTTGTAGATCAGGCACAGTTATGAGCGCGACATGAATCAGCCCATTTACAATTCTACTGTGCTTGAACGAGAAATGTCCCCCCTTTGGGAATGGCCTAAAGACACTTCAGTCCGTGGCACTGCCCCGGGGGACTAATAAAGTATTCTAATATAGCTGCTACAAGACACAAAAAAGCAGGAAGCTGAATGATGTCACTTACTAGGCTTACTTTCTTTTGCTTTCGTTTTGTTGTGTCTATTTACCTGTTTTACCTTTTCGCCGCAATAAATAATCGTTATCGTGACGACTTGCTTCTCTTTATTGGTGTAATATGACATAAACAGCCTGTATCTCCCTAACTTTCCCGCTCACAACTTTTCAACCGCAATATGTCATCATGTGTGTGTCTCGCTCTTACTCTCTCTGTCTCTCTGTTTCTGTTTCTGTCTCTGTGTCTCTGTGTCTCTGTCTCGGTCTCTGTCTTTGTCTCTCTGTCTCTGTCTCTGTCTCTGTCTCTGTCTCTGTCTCTGTCTCTCTGTCTGTCTGTCTGTCTGTCTCTCTCTCTCTCTCTCTCTCTCTCTCT